GGGCTCTGTGCTGACTGCCAGCTCAGAGCCTGGAGGCTGTTTCAGAGTCTGTGTCTCCCTCTCTCTCTGACCCTACCCTGCTCACGCTCTCTCTCTCTCTCTCTCTCTCCCCTAGAAATAAATAAAAATAAATAAATAAATAAAGCTCTCACTAGTCTGCGGGGGAAACGACTAGGTGTTGTAGTTGAGGTCAGGTCAGTAGGTTGTGGTATGAGGCAAAAACTGCAGGTACATGAGGCAGATGTGGGTATGATGTCCATAGGTACAAGGATACAGGCAATGTCAGGCACTAGAGGGCACAGACCACTAGCAGAGCTCCAGGGAAAGCAGGCAACAGATATAGGGACCATCAATAGAGAAGACAGACTTTGGGGTCCCAGATCGCATCAATGAATAATGTGGAGCTAGGCTCTGAGGTAATACAAAAGGACACAGGAATCTTTTTTGGTGATGATGAGAGCACTTTAATGCCCTTTGGTTTGCCCCAGCTCAGATCTTCTGTAGTCAACTCCATAAAGGATAAGGTTAGTCATACAGACCCTGACCCTGCATGGGGGAGCACATCCTTATCTACCCAGAGTTTATCAGCTTAGTGCCTCTGAGGGTTGGGCATTTTACTAGGAGAATCTGATCCTCCATGAACTGGGTAGGAAGTTCCTTCAAAATCCTCACAATTCACTTCACGGAGGTATTTGTCCTCTGAGTCTTCCTGAGCACAAGGCAGAAGACTGATACATGGATTCTTGGCCAGATTTTGACAGTACTATTATGAATTAGGGCTCATATCACCAAAGAAACATCTGATACTCTTATTTTAGGGATAATTTAGATAAATTACAAGAGGGTAGGTAGAGAGGAGAGGGGAGCAGAGAGAACAACTCTGAAATGGGAAGAAATACAGTCACCTCATAGGGTCTATCACCTCCCATCTAATACTTAAATTTGAATAAAATATTATATTTTCAGTTATTTTGTCTGAAATATTGTCTTGATAACTCACTAGGAAAATGAAGATACACAGATATCTCACCTCTCAGCTATGACTTCTCAACAGTTTTCCAGGTAAGGAAAATCTGTCAAAGAAATTGTTTCCAGAAAATGAACGGTTCTGTTTTCATTAACTCATGACTTTTTAAGGTGTCCTTTAGGACTTAAAAGTTTTAATGTTGTCTCTCCCCAAAGGTGTTTTTAGGGTTTGAAGATGACATTTGAGCTTAAATCACTTCGGCTGTTAAATATTAAAGAGAAATATACAATTTCTGCCTTTGAGATAAAACATTCTTTTCAATAGTTCAAGTAACTAAAATGTCTAAATTTGAAACCTGGAAACATACTTGTCTATGGTACTCCATGGAAAAGAAATTCTACTGAAGGTGGAAAGCATCAGAGTAGATGTTTTTATGATTGCAAATATTATAAGGGGAACGATTAAGCATGTGTCGAGCACTTCTCTAAATTTCATATATTTTCTACTCAAGGATAGATTCTGGGTATGCATGTGGCCTGCAAAAAGCTCTTATTTCTTTGAGCAGGAAATTAAAAGAAGAAACTCTTGCCATAAGCCCCCCGAATAAATTCCCATTTATGTTTTAATTCAACTACTACTGCTACTACCTTTTAATACTTTTATTTATTAAGCACCTTCTATGAGCTTATTAATAAGCTTGGAAAGCATATTGATAAGCTTAATAAATACTGTTACATAACATCATTTCAAGTTTTCTTTAATTTGAAGATATGAGTGAAGCTCAGAGAAGTTATGTACCTTGAAGGGTGCCTCATAGGTAAGTAACCTGTGCAGTCACAAAAAGCCTTGCATTGAAAAGGACCTCATGCTTGGTTTAATGATCAGATGCCATTAAATTAAAATTCTTGCTAAGTTTTGAACAGTCACTCATTTTGCCCTGAGCCGCACAAATTACATAGCTGTACTGACCAATGTCCCACAGGCCTTAGGGGAGTGAAATCTGGATTCAAACCCAGTCAGCATGATGCCAGAAGACACCACCCTTCTGTTCTTATCTTGCTGGATTACATCTTTTTATCATTATCCTTTTTTCAAGAAGGTCTTAACAGTAATCATGTGATTATTTGGAAATAAAGACTTCATTCCTACGCATAAAACAACTACGTACTGAGTTAAAAGCATTATGACAAACTGTATTTTCCATAGATGCCCACAATATCTCCCATTCTGCATTTTCTGCTACAGCACCACCTTGCCACTTCCCCATCATGGAGTGGAATCTAATTCCCTTCCCCTTAAATTTAGGTCAGCCTTTCTGAATTGCCTTTGACCAATATAATGCAGCAAAGGTGACATTCTGGGAGGTAAAGGGCAAGATCAGAAGGAGACTCACAGCTAGCTACTCTTTCTTGGAATGCTAGCTCTTAGGAAGCAATTCGGGAACCCAACCCCCATGGGCTGTGGGAAGCTCAAGCCACATGGAGAGGCCACTCGAATACATGTAGGTACTTCAGTGGACAGTCCCAGCTAAACTCCCAGCCGATGGCCACAATCAACTGCCAGCCATGTGAGTGAGTCACCTGGTCAAGCCTTTAGATGGGACAAACACAAGAGCAAACCATCCAGTTGATGCCATGTAAGACAGGGTCCTCTTTAAGTCACAGTCAACCCACAGAATGATGACAGAAAATAGCAAGTTATCCTAAGCCATTACAGTTAGGAATTGTTGGTGCAGACATTAGGTAACCAGAATAAGTATTAAGACCCTCAAGTAATTTGATTCCTGATTTGTTGTTTTTAAATTTACTGGGCTTTTTTGTACTGACTCAAGAGTAACAGGTCTGTGTACAATGTATCAGTTGATTAAACAATAGAAGTTATTTTGAGTCCTTCAAGCATTAAAGTTCCATTTAGATGTTACTAACATAATACTCCATAAATGTGTTTATTGCCAACCTGTCATCTGCAGAGGCTAACACACTTCTGAAGGCTAATAACACAGTCTTCACACACACAAGCTGAGAAGAAATGTTCTACCAGCAAGGCCAGTTAAGTTCTAGTTCCAAAATTAACTGACCAACATCACCCATCTAAGAGCTGACCCTCACGATTTCATTTCTCTAGACTCATGCCAAGAATTAAGATGTCTCTTCAAACTCTAGTTAGTCTTCAAAGAAGTAACAATGCTTTTGTCTACACAACTATATCCATGCATCTGCCCATCCTAAGAAGTTGTTTCTGGAAAGAAGTTAACTGCAGAAAACTGACCAAAAAGTGATAAGGCACACGTCCCTTATTAGGTATTAATATTATTATTCTTCTGCTGTTTGGAAATTGTCTCTTAGTAAAAAAGTAGCAAATCTGCAAAAGACTTTAAAATAACCATTTCCCAACTACCTTCCTAATTCTACAAATTATCCTTTGTACCCACACACACATGCACTCATTCATTCATATGAGAGTGTGTAGTAGCATGCGTTCCATCTGGGATACGGTCAGGCTCTATGAAATATGTAGTGAATAGTGAAAAACACAAAAATCATTAAGTGCTTGAAAATGGAGAAAAATCCTTAGAAAATAATCTGATAATTTGCCAAAAAGCTTCCCTGATGTTCTAGAACCAAAATAAACGAAACCAATCTGCAAATTCTAGTAAATTTTATCAACTTTCCTATGTCTTATGTCTACCTGCCCTGTTTCTCTCAATTTTCAAAAATTGCATACTGGCCTTGTGGTAGAGCGTGCTATGTTTTGGTTATGTCTTGGGAGGTTAAGTTATATTCTGTGTTGAAAAATGATTAGATCTCATCATTCTAGTCTATTCCTTCCCTATGTAGATATCTTGACAAAATATTCCACTCAGAAGGTATCTAACCTCTACCAACCTAACTTATTTTCATATTTCTCCTTCTCTCTCTCTCACACGTGCATGCACACACACGCACACACACACATACACACACAGAGACTTCACAAATAAGCTTTCAATGCATTTTCTGTACATTTCTAGTCTCTTACTGTCAATGGGAATTTGTGTCTGGAATTAGGACCATTCACCATGAATTCACAAACAGCTTACACGTTTCTAAGTCAGCAACTATCAGATCTGTTGCAGAAATCCTACCAGACATGATTTCTGGAGGACAGCCAAGAGGGCTGAGAATCTGTTGCGAGTTAGCCAGACTGTTTCCATTAAGCACATCTGACTCTGCTAACATTTAAGATCATGTATCTCCCTAACCCAGAGCCTGTGACTTGCCAGCAGGAATAAATAGTACAGCACAGGCCCTGAGCCTGGGCCGGAGGGTTATGGTTTCTGAATAGAATCAAATCGTGGACTTGGACTTTCCTTCCTCCTAAGGGATAAAGATGATTCAGACTGAAGCAGCTGGGAAATATGGAAGTCATTAGCGGGCTAAACTGTACACAACAACCAAAGTATTAAGAACTCTCAGTAAACAAAATGACCAGCATTTCTGATCTCCTGCCCCCCAAGCTCCCTAAACTAAGAAACATGGCTAAGAAGACTCTTAGCGATCCCCGGATGCACTTCTCTCATTCTGCAGGTCAGAGGAGAGTACTCAAGATTACGCAGTGACTTGCAACCAAGCAAAAACTAGATCACAACCCTTCTTCCCTTTCCCCAGTGACTTTTCCACCACTGCATGCTGGCTCCTCCCTTCTTGCTGCTTCCCAGAACACCACTTCCAGGCCTTGCTCCCTGCCACCTTAGATTCTACCCACAGCTTAATTCCAAGGTGAGAATGACCTTGTACTCTGGGCCTTCCATAGGTCCTATGTGTTAAATTGGGGGAAAGGAGGGCTATATTCTGTTTTTCTATCTTCTGTCCTTCCCTGACCATTTTGCTTAATGACACTGTTTTAACATTAGTGGAGGCTACTATATTCATATCAGCCCTACAGTTAATTGAGTAGTGCAGAAATGAGCATTGATCTGTCCACTTCTCTCTAACGATCATCTCTTCTTTTTCATGGAGTAAGGACTACCCCTCCCTAAAAAGTGACCCGCAGACATGCATAGGGACATTTATTGGTTGTCACAATGACTGGAACAGCATTTTGTGGGTGGGGCCAGGGATGCCAAGCTCCCAGCAATGTCCAAGACAGTTCCTTACAGCAAATCACCTCGCCCAAACTGTTCAACAGCACTCCATTGAGGAAACAGCCAACTAGCTGAGGAAAAATCCTTTCTTCCTTTATGATGAATGGGAGGCACATGGGGGTAGGAAAAGCAGCAGAGTCTGGGGAAAAAGCAAAGGCTTTTAACACAACTCCCCCAGTGGTTACCTGGATAATTATGTTTTCTGAGTCTTTTTTTTTTTTTTTTCATCATAAAATAAGGACAGGGGCACCTAGGTGGCTCAGTCAGTTCAGGTCATGATCTCGTGGTGCCTGGGTTCATGCCCTGCTTCAGGCTCCGTACTGACAGCTCAGAGCCTGGATCCTGCTTCAGATTCTGCGTCTCCCTCTCTCTCTGCTCCTCCCCTGCTCACATTCTGTCTCTCTCTCTCTCTCTTTGTCTCAAAAATAAATAAACATAAAATAAGGACAAAACATATAATTCCTAGAGCTATTACAAAGATTAAATGACAATTACATAAAATTGTTAAACACCTGTTAGTGCAGAAATGCAGAGGATTTTATTCACCAGATTTCCCAAAGTCAGAAAAACAGAGAACGAGAACGCATGCTGCTTCATGGGAAAGCTTCAAGAAGAATATCCAGTAGGGACTCTGATTTAGACTTTTAATTATTTTCTATCTTTTTAATAAGTTTATTTATTTGAGACAGAAAGAGAGCATGCATGAATGGGGGAGGGGCAAAGAGAGATGGAGAATCCAAACCATGGACAAAAAGTGGGAACTAGAAAGAAATCGACAATGCACTCATATCCTCAGGTGTTGCGGGTTTAAAGCGTGGGCTTTGGGGTCAAATACATATCCAGGTCCCTCATGGTCTCACGGCCTCATCCTGGGTGTTTTAACTCTAGATCCCTGATATCCTCATCTATAAAATAGCAGCAAATGTAGTACTGACCTCAGAGGAATGTGCTGAGAAGGAATGAGACAATCCATGTGAATGTGCACTGCTGTTAACGGTATTTCATGTGCTCAATCAATGTCCACTAAAGTAAAAGGCATTACAGTGGATGTTACCGCAGCTGCCTACTGTGGTCACCTCTGATGGAATTAAGTTAGGATAAATCATGAGACGCAGAAGCCTGGCTTCGTATGCCCATTGATTCCTTAAATTTTTACTGCAATCCCAACACAGCATTTTGGGGGAATGGGGAATAGGACCTCATTAACAGAAGTTTTTGCAATCATGTAAATTTACAGAACTATACTGCTCTCAAGCCCAGAGAAATGACACTTGCTGTCTCCAAGATCCTGCCAGTGTCTGCCATAGTGTGAGTATGGCATTAATGCTTGTAAAAACAATGCTGTACATGGATTCTCTAGCTATTAAGATATTGATGCTGATGAATCTACATCCCAAAGCTTATATGTTAAAATATTTCCATCCTATTTTTTTAATGTGTATTTACTCTTGAGAGAGAAAGAGAGAGAGAGAGAGAAAGCATAGAGAGGGCAAAGAGAGAGAGAGGGAGAGACGGAGACAGAGGATCCAAAGCAGGCTCTGTGCTGGCAACAGAGAGCCCAATGCAGGGCTTGAACCCATGAACTGTGTGAGATATGACCTGAACCGAAACCAAATTCAGATGCTTAACTGACTGAGCCACCCAGGTGCCCCACATCCTATTTTGAAGCAAGTATGACAGACAAGCCTGAATAAAATGAGCCAACAATTTAGGGCCTCAGTATGTGATCATATGACCTTACAAGGCTCTTCCTTCCTCTAATGCGTACAGTTGTGCCATTGCACATGAATTGGCCATTAAATTATTTTACACGAACATAAAATGTCCTCTATACATGGTAAGAATAAAAAACTGAGAGAAACCTCAGTATCCAATCAAATAATGTTCTCTCACCCCTTTTATACTTATCTGGAGACTCCATCCATGGTGCTGTCCTAATGAGAAAATGATCTGGGGAGATGACCAGTATCCTGTAAACAAGGCACTAAAACACCCCCTGGGCTTAGCCATCAGGCAACATCCTTAGCCTATATGATCCATGAGGGTAGCTGTAGACTCTGTCCATTTGATTCCTTCCTGTATCCTCAGTGGGCAGCATAGTGTCTGGAAAGCAGGAGGTATGCGATAAATATTTCTGGCATCAATGCTTCCTTAACTCCAGCCTAGTTATTCTGAACCACACCCAGACAGGCAGTCTGGGCAGAAACATGGGCTCCTCACCAGGGTTTTAGGGGAGGCTGCTGTCGAATGTCATTGTTAAGGTGTTTAGTGTTTCAGCCTTCGGGAAAGAAAGAGCAAGGACTATTTTTAAACCCCACTGGCAAGAACTCTTGACATCTTTGAAAGATGAAAAGAAAGTTGCCAAGCAGTGAAAAGCAGTAATTATGCCAGACAGACACTCATCATTCTGACCAGGGATCTTCATTTAATTTACCTCAGTTAAGACTGAGTAATTTGTGCAGAGGAAGTTCATTCAGATTTCCAGTGAAATTTCAGATGGAAAGGATGCTGATGGCTAGTGAGGAGCCTGGATGTGGAAAGTTACAAAAAAAAATCAATATGTTTTGTGCTCTTCGTTACTTAAAACATTTCCCCCTATAGATATCAATAATAATATGAAACAGTAATGGAAGGAGATGTTTACAGAGCACTTTCTGCTAGGTCTTTCACATGTACTGTCTCCCTTAATACTCAGTAAGATACCACGAGCTAGATGCTATTGCCTTATTCGTTTTCAGTTCCAAAAAGCCTCATCATTCAAAGAACATAAATGGCTCCATGGAGATCTCAAGTGTGTTAAATGGTAGAGTCAGATGTTAAATCCAGTCTGCCTGATTTCAAAAGCTCTTGACAGCTAGATGAATTTCTAGTTGAGTAATGTCTTAAGATTTGTCTCCACCTTCTTTCTGCAAATTTAGATGAACATTTAGAAGACAAATAAGAGCAATCTGAATACTGCCGTGTCTATTTTTCTTTATTCATTTCTGTAACAAGTGTTAGCATGATCTAGACCATAAGGAGTTGCAACTACAATGACCTCCCAGGGCCTGCCTCACAGCGGGTCTCAGGATAGACAGACCAGAGTGGGGTAGCCATATTCAAAAAGTAAGAGTTTCCTTCCAACTCTTCCAACTGTAATTGCACAAACAGAACCGCTAAGGCATTTGCCATGAGAAACCTTCATCAAGTCACCCCCATCTCTGAGCCTCCTCCAGGAGTAAGAAGAGCATGCGCTTTGGGTTCTCCCAGACAGAAGGACTCCTGGGAACCCACCAGAAACAGAGACAGTAAGCTGTAATTCTTGGTCATTCCGCCTACTGTAGTGGAGTCATCAAGTGTTTCTGCATGCGTTCATATAGTACAGGGGTGGCCTGGATCCCTGCTGCCCAAAACAGCAGCCACCAGCCACATGTGCATATTTCAGTTTGAAACAAATAAAATAAAAAATTCACGTCCTTTTTTCACTAGCCACTTTTCAAGGGTTCAGTAGTGTATGTGGCCAATGAAGATCTAAACCATTTCTAGAATATTCCAATCATCACAGAAAGTACTATTGGACAGTGTCAGTCTAGATAAAAAGGAGAGCAAACCCTTCCTGGCCAAATACTGTTATTTGAAGGAAAAGGGGCTCCAATTTTAGTGTCAGTTTTAATGAGAGGGTTTTTTTTTTCTAATGATTAGTCAGGGTTCACTCAGTTATAAGAGTAAAATCAACTCAAAAACAGCTTAAACAAAAATAGAGAATTGACTTGTTCTTATATTTGAAAATTCTAGGAATAAAGCCCAGCTGGATCCAGAGGTTCAAATCTCTCATTAAAACTATATCTCTCTTCCCTAAACCTTGCCATCTTCTATGCTGGCTTTCTTTGTAGGCTGGCTTTACTATATGGGGGGCAAAGGTGGCTCCCAGTAGACCGGGGCTCATATCATTCTTGGTTCCCACAATCTCAAATTTGTCCTTCTAAATCAGTCTCTGGTTGGCTGGACCCTGATCCATCCCTGTGTTCAGGAGTATGGAATATTCTGCTGGTAAGGACTGGATTCCAGCTTCAGCCAATTACATGGACTAAGAATGGAAATTGGGTGGTTCTTCCAAACATGTCTGAAGCAAGCAAGCAAACACACACACACACACACACACACGCACGCACACACACGCACGCACACACACGCGCACACACACACTACTTCTACAGCTACCTACTCATATAGACCCCCATTTACTAGTAGTATTAAAACTAGTACTAGTAATAGTAGGTCGTAACATTAAGTTGGAAGTACCTCTAAAGCAGTTTTTGCTGAAATACAGGGATATTTATTCAAGTACTGCTATTCATCACAGTTTATTGACTACTGTCTCTGCCTAACAGAAGAAGCATTATCTTCACATATTTAAAAGATAACAAGTGTCCAAACACACCTGGTACCAGACCAGGCTCTCTGATTTGTTTGCAGTATGACCTTGGGCAAACTCTAATTTCTCAAGGTCTTCGTCTTCTTATCTTAAAAATGGGGATAACAATACCAGTGTTATAAGGTTCTTTTTGAGGCTAAATGGGATAGTCCATAAAAAGTGCTTGGCACCATGTGAAATGAATAGTAATCACACTCTCCACGCTAGCTATTTTTAGCACTATTATTGTTATAACCTTCCAAGACAGTACAGGGGAAGTCTAGTGAATAGTGAAAACACTCTGTGTTCTAGGAATTAGGAAAGCCAGCCGTCCCTGTAAGCTGGTGGGTCCCACGAGGATTTCCCAGAGCACACAGGACATGAGCAGAGTTTTTAAGCACCGGCACACAGGCAGAGGGAAGGGGGCACAGTGTTTCTTCCGGCAGCGCCCAAGAGACGAATGCCTGTGTCTCTGAAGCCCTGTCTCTCTCTAGGAAGTAGGAAGCAGTGGAGGGTGGAGGGAGGAGTTTCCCTTTAAGCATCCTCTGCAGAAAAAGTTGAGAGGCAGCATGATTGTTTGAACATTAATAAAAAAGAGCACAGCAAAACTGAATCCGAACAGCCAGGCAGGCATGTCTCCTGTGCCGCCGTTCCTGTACTGAGCTCTCAGCACTGCCGGGGGCTGATGGTGGTGAGGTCTTCCCAGAGGGGCGAGCCGAAGCAGACTGTCTGGCAGGGTTCGGTGCATCTTCCAAATGCCTGTCTGTCCAGGGGGGTGGAGGCCTCCGAACAGCTGCTACGATGCTTTGTAAACAAGTGGGGGACACACTTCTTTAACCTGGAATCCTGCGGCTGAAAAATATGTTTACCTCTCCAAGGATTTGGTTGGAAATGCTTCAAAGATTTCTGCTTGTCCCAGAAAGCTGGAGCTCAGTATGAAGTGACGTGCTTCATTTCTGAGAACAGCGCTGTCCTTGGGTAAGAAGAAAAGTATTTTCCAGCTCGACAGTAAATAACTTTCTGACCTGGGCAAGAGCACAGGACCAGATTATCTCAGAGATGGAAGAAAAGCAGTTTAGCTCATGTGCAAAGTGCATATGATGAAAATGCTCCCATCCGAGGTGGGGGCCGGCACCGTGCAGAAGCAAGGCACACAGGGAGACGTTTCCAGGGCATGTTGTGATGACTGGATCATTTCCAGACACCACTGCCAAGGCAGGCCTCTGGACAGCTGCAGCTTTAGAGAAGCTTTATCATTCCCTCTGCCTTACCCCCCACCACCACCAAATTGTGGGCGTGAGTGTGTGTGTGTGTGTGTGCATGTGCATGCACACACACATGCACACACGTACCAATGAAAAGCATTAATTAGCATGCTTTTATGTATTAGATCTTAAAAGCCATCAGGGCAGCTGTTGTCTAGAAGCCAGGAGCTAAATTCAAGTCACAGTTCTGTCATTTGGCCATACAACCCTTGCCAGGTCATCTCACCCCTCTGAGCTTTGACTTCTTCATTTGTAAATGAAGACTATACTATCTGAACCAATTAACTCAGATTTTTGACAGAGAGCCAAATTACAATGAAACGATGTATAGGAAAGTCTTCTGCAAACGCTAAAGCCCCATTTTTCAAGGTATGGACCACAGGCCAGCAGCACTGACTTCACCAGGAAGCTTGTTAGAAATGCAGCCTCATGGGCTCCACCTCAGACCCACTGAATCAGAACCTGCATTTTAACATGATCCCCCAGGTGATTAATATGCATATTCAAGTTTGAGAAACACTATGTTAAAGCACTATAAAAATGGATTTACAGATTTGTTGCAAGGTTGAATAAAACCCATCCGACTCTTGGTTACTGAAGGAGGGCTGACTCAGGAAGTCAGTGGCTCAGATATTCCCAGAGAGCAGCAGCCACTGTCATTTACCAGTTCTTGGAGACATCCAGTGCAATGTGAATAAAGCTTGCCCTGTAATAGTGTGATGAACAGCGTTCTTATACAAGATTTGGGGGTTTTAAAAAAAAGTATCCCAACTTGAAAAACCCTACAGGACAATCTGACCTTCCATCACTGACTGTATTTACTACCCTCCCCATCCCCACTTTGGCCCCTCCATCCCCTCCCCCACTGCAGTGGTCACTCCACTGCTGATGCAATGGTCTCCCTGCTAATCCTCAAACATGCCAGCACCTCCCGAAGGAGAGCCTTTGCATTGCTATTCTCTCTGCTTAGAATGCTGTACCCTTCAATAGCCACAGAGCTCAGTCCCCTAGTCACCCTGAAGTCTTTGCTCAGATGTCACCTTCTTCATTTTGCCCTCCCCACCCTTCTATTTAAAAGTGCAACACCTTCCTTTACTGGGATTTATTTTTCTCCATACAAGTTATCATTTTCTAGCATACTATATACTAATTTATTATGCTTTATTCCTATCCCTTCCTACCCCAACATAGAATATAAGTTCATGAAAGCATGAACTTGGATGGATGGATGGATGAAGATACAAAAGAATGCCTATGAACATGGGCTCTGTAATCAGACAGACTTGGGCATGAACTTCAGTTCTACCACCAAGAGCAGCCTGACTCTAGGCAAATAGTGCATGTTAACAGGTCTGGTACAGGGCCTGGAATATATGGAATGGCTCTATACATCATAGTTATCATTATTAAACATGATTATTGTTGGGGCGCCTGGGTGGCTCAGTTAGTTAAGCATCCAACTCTTGACTCTGGTTCTGATCATGATCTCATGGTTCATGGGATAAAGCCCTTCATTGGGCTCTGTGCTGACAGCATGGAGCCTGCTTGGGATTCTCTTTCTCCCTCTCTCTCTCTGTCTCTCTGCCCCTTCTCTGTCCATGCTCCTGTACTCTCTCAAAATAAATAAATAAAATTTAAAAAACATAATTATTATTATCATTAAATATAAACCTCATTCTCCTAAGAGAATGATTAACAATTGTCACCTTTTTTTTAACAAATCAAACTTTGAAAGAATATGCCACATCAACCAAACAAGGTGAAGTACTGGGACTCATTTCTCAGCAGTCAGTTCTTTTTGCATCAGTAAAAAGAAAGAAAAAAATAAAATAAAAATTTGCATGCATGAATATACTTTTTACTTCA